AAATACCCTTTTACAGTAAGAACATTTAATTGATTCTTCAACACAGCTTGTTTGTTCATGTTGAGTGAGGTCTTGCTCAACCTCAAACTCCTGACTGAGTTGTGAGCATTCTATAGGCTTTTCCACATTTGTCTCGTTAGAAACATCTTCACTGTCACTCACTGTCATTGAACCTTGTTGATTGTTATAGTTTTCATTAGAACAGCTAGCTGTCGTATTATCAACATCAACTGAACTCACAGAATTAATGTTATTCAAAGGACCTGCATTTTCAATGACGTTACTTGTATTAATGTACTTAGAAGAGCAACCATTTTCACAGCCATAGTCGTCAGTTTGTGTAGCAATACAGCAGTATTCTTTGGCCATTATGGGCAGACCATGCATAATGTTGTCTTGTAGATTACTACCCTGAAAGACGAAATTAAATATGCGCTACTAAAATAATTGTTGTCTCTCTTAACAAACAAAACAAACTCATTCCTTTTTAATTGAATGAATATTTCACAGACTGTAAAAAGCATACTTCGATCCTCTAAGTGTAYGCTTAGTAAATTTGATATAAGGCCAAAGTAGATATCTTAAAATCTGCAGTGCCTAAAACTTACACCATCTTCAGAAGGCCATTTGTGTTCTCCCGTTGCCTTATTATAGATAAATAAAGTATTTCCATAAATACTCTTGTATTCAATCCATGTATCTAATGACATCTTAACTATTATCTTTCAAAGTCCAACTGAAATTATTATATGAAATTGAACTTCRTGTTTGTGGTTGAATCCGCCATTTTGGAATGGAAATAACGAGAGGGATTGGAAAGGCTCATTTCCAATCTCTCATGAACGCCAAACAACACAGCAAGCCCATGTGCACCTCATTTCATTTCGTAGTTTTCGTAGTTTTACGTGGCAGATGTTAGAGGATAGTCCGGTTTGATGTTGTGCTACATTGCAAGACCTCATATTGTTTAAAAAAAAACTATTAAAACATTGATAAAACAACTATCTTAATAGATTTAAAAAAAGTTCTTGGAGAAAAACGTTCTTGGGGGTTGGGGTACTCCCTCCCCAACTTCGATGGGGGCGTGCCGCACGACCCTCAAAACCCTTACCCTATCCCACACCAATATTTTTGATTTTACATTCCCTACCCCTACTAAAGGTACATTATTTTAGCGCTGAAAGCGTGGCCTAGCAGGTACGATCACAGGCAAGATCACAGGAAGCTTTGGGAACCAAAAACGTTTTAACGTTATTATTTAAAAATAGCCATTGGCCAGCATTCGAGTAGGTTGGTGGAATTGGATCCCAATTGATTTAAGCTAGGCGTTAATGAACTGACAAAACAATTAAATGATGAATGGATGGATGTAAACRAAATCCCATTACCCGCAAAACAAAAAATATGTTCTCATAATAAGTTTTCTATTTTTTATTAAATTTTTATTCTAAATTATTTCAAAAAGAAGTCCAACTACACATTCAGCTGAATTTAGACTTCGATGCCAGTATTTTTTCCAGCTTTTTTGCCCATTTTTCCAGAGCGGCATCAGTTCTCAGTATGATTAAGTAAACAAAAACTAGAAACGGGACAGAGACGAGAAACGACGCACACTCGAACACGAAACGAGGAGCAAATATCTTCCAAACCATCAGGTGTCGGCGGTGTAGTCCAGCAGAGCATGCACTAAATAAAACCTTGAAACGGACAAAAGATGACATAGTTAGCTTCAAAATTGTATGTGCAGTTTTATATAGCGAGATTATCAAGCTCTAAACTAATACTTCGTTGCGTTTCTACCTCGCCTTTTTGTGCTTTAGAGGCCACAACACAAAATTCAAGATCAATTTTTATAAATCCGTGAAACAAAGTGTAATATCTAAAGTAAAGTAGTGYGTAATGCAGCGAAAAAAATAAAAATAAATAAACGAGCAAACAAACAAAGAAAAACGGACACTATAAAGACCACTAGAAACAAAAAGAAAACATGGAAAAAATTAGAACTAGATGGATAGACATCATGGGCAGAAAATCCGGACATTTGAGCCCGCAATCGCAGCGGTACTTCRCATARATGCATAAWAACATGTTTATCTACACTATGAACATTCCAAACGAGCACCTCACAAGGCACTAATGAACTCAAGGATCAGGGCGTGCTATCCCAATACTCGTTTGTCGATGTTTTGAACGTKTCGATTTTRGCCCAGTATTGTATTAAGATAAAGGATCGTTGCATAAGAGTAGAAAAWTTGATCTTGAAACCCCAAGGGAACTTGTAGAAAGCTCTATTTTGGTGGGGAAACGCGCTGACTCGTCCCGGGCTCAAATGTCCGGAATTTCTGGCCATGTATAGAAAATAAAAAAATAGTGAAATCGATATTTTGTTTCACGGGTCTAAAGACCATACTCTACTCTGTCATACAGTCCACAGAATTGATTAAAGTACTAAATGAAGCTTACCTTTAGACAATTGAAGAGCAAATACATTGTTAAAAGTCGAAATATATCCTCTCTAAACCCATCAGTATCATCACACAAACTAAACTCCCCTTTATCGGCATCTTTTGTTCGTTTAGTTTTGCCAAGAATTCTGTTTGAAATGCGCGGCCACAAATACAGCACAGGYAGCCCAACTGCAAAGAGGACACTGGATGCAAAAGTGTTTAGAAATATCAGAAGACCTACGGAGAAACGGGAAAACTGAAACTTTTGTCACACTGATGTGTTTTTATGACGTTTATATTTTGTTTTCTACGAGACTTGAGAAGGTTAAACAATAAGAAACACTAGAAAAATGCAACAATAGTGGCCGCCGCAGTTACCTGGTAACGCTAGATTGTTCATGTCTCCCGGTAAACCAACAAATGCTGCCTCAAATCGTATGGCTGGGATGGTGGCCTGGTGACCAGTTGAGAAAAAATATTGGGACGACAACAGTCCCCAAACGACCACTGAATGCCAAGAGAGACCTGGGAATAGATATTGAATGAAACAAACATTGAAAATACATATCTTTTTGGCAGTTAGTGCTCCGTGATAATTTTGATTATTCATATACTTTTCTTTTGTTATAAAGAAGTGCCTACCATATGCGCAATACAGTCTCGTACTTAGGCTTTTCTAATTTCTCAATCGTGCGCTGCGCTCACAAACAGAATACTGTGTACTAAAATGCTTGCTATACATACTAGGAAGAGTCGACGTTCATGGGAAAAATATATCTGTTCTTATTTCCCAGCCAGCTGTAAGTCACAACTGCAGGTTGCCATCTAGAAATTCAGGAGAATTGAAGAGCTCTCCAAGCAAGGAATACTTTCTAAGAATTTTTGCCAGGAAAATAAAAATTTGCCAACTAAAAAAATATAAGCCGTTTTTGACCATAAAAACGTTATTAAAGCCTTGTTGACCTTAAGAACGTTTTCCAGGAACACAATTATTTTAAAGATGGAAGGGCGCCACATTTGCTTGTGAAATTGTCAGCAATGTAGCTCAAAATCTCTTTCCCAGAAAAAAATTCGTACTAGAACAGTTATTTAGAAGAACAGACCCCTTCGGCTCCTCCTGACATACCTTGCTTAGTAGTCTCCGGATACACGTTACTGGACACTTGTATCTCCGYGTATAAGAACATCTGAGCCAACAACAGTACCACTGACCCAGCCATCCCATCACTCAATACAATCATCGTCAACATAGCAACACATCCAAGTATTATGAGAACAGGAGACGAATAGACTGTACCAAGGCCATACACCACAGGGGGTCTGTCATCTTCCGCATCAACTTCAGGTGTGCTTTTATCCCAATTTTTCTTTACTTCTCGGAAAACAGTTTTCAATGCTTGAGGATCTAAAGTATCGCCGACCAGTAAACTATTAAGGGACTCTTTAAGAGAGCTTTGGCTGTCTCTTAGCAACGTATAAAGACACAGTGGTTGCCATAGTACCAATAAAATAGTCAACAAACAAAGCCAGTAAACAAACTGTGGGAGGACAATTTGCTGCCAAAATTGTAAGTTGGAAAACTGGTTGTTGGAAGTCTGAGGGAGTATTTGAAGAGCCCAATGTATGCAAACAAAGACAGCGGCGAAGGAGAGACCATAACGTACAGAAAGAACCACTGGGGTTGATCCATTTAGGTTTCCTTGGTAACGAAGCCACTGATAGAGAGCTAATGGTATAACAGCTGCGCACAATGAACACAACAAGAAACGTTTGTTGACACTGGAATTGGTGCCTTGAAGTGCAAGCAAAGGCTGAAGAAAACTTGACGGTTCGCATGAAAACTGCTCTTCTCTGCAGGCCCTGAACACTGCTGAAACTCTTCCACAAATAATGAACATTAAAACTGCAACAAATATTCTAAAATTGGTAGAAGTTAAAAGGCTTTTGASTTCAAACTTTYGAGCTTCTTTTTTGTTCTTTTTTRCTACGCCAGCTGCATTTCGATGTGCGATTTTTATGACTGTCTGCGATGWTTTTAGCTTTGTRAAAGAAAAAATAAATTGAAGTGAAAGAAGGCTWGATAGAATGAATAGAACTGTGGTATCTTCATGCACAATAAAGCTGTTAGAGAACCACGATACGAAGTAGCATCCACAAAACAACGTTGCAAGAATGTTTTGGAAGCTAAATTCTGTGTAGATCCAGATAACTTTACGCAAACCASTTGTATTTCCTTTTAAATAGTAATATAAAAACATTACARCAAAACTACCCGCAAAACAAATAAGGCTGTTGAACAGGACTTTTGGAGTTTCRTTTGGAGTAAGAACAAAACAAAAAACTATTCCAAATATAGTTAAAGCTGAAGTACTCTTGAGGAGAGATGAAGAACTTTTCTTAAAGAAACGCGGATTCCAAACGGCCATTGTCATAATGGCTACACTAACAACTTGTATGAGAATCCCTAAGGCCATTGAAAGAATGTCAAACTTAGCCCACATTCCATGGCAAAGCTCCYTRACTTCAGAAAGATAATCYGAGTACTGATGTTCAACTTGTTCAAGTCCYTTGATGCTCAAATAAATACCTAAATTCACTTTGCCATAGTAAGCMAACTCAGCAATTTGATKGAAGTTTTGAGAAGCATTTTCAAATTTCACTTGCAARGACTTTAGCTTCTGTTTTGGTATTTCACTTGACTTCTGTTGATATTTGTGAAGATACTTGTTCACTTGGTAAGCATTGAGATGTAGTATTTTCAATCGGCTCATAATTGACAYCCAAKGGAGCTTTTCTTCATGGGAAAGAATGTCAGGGATGTTAAATTGGTAGCCTTGCTGAGTAAATAGCTCTGTTACAGTACTACCAAGACTTCCAAATGGAATGGGAAGACCAAGAAGAAGTGAAAAAGTTGGGACAAAATCAACTTGAGATATGGATGAAGGACTCTGTCAAAAAACAATAAATATGAACAAAAATTTATAATTGCATAAGAAAATAGAAAGAGAGAAAGAAATGAACGAATTGAAGTAATAAATGAAAATTTGTAGTAAAGTAAAATATAGTTGTAATACCTTCTTAGATGCACTGTCTACAAGTGGTGCCTTAGAATAAACAAACAATGCTGCATCTAATTCATCATCACTATCACCRCCATGATCACCAGTTCTTGTCATACCATGATCACCCAACACAAACAGCACTGTTTTGTCATCTAAGGCGTCCATCACTGATCTAAAATGTTCAAAATGATGTTGTAATTTTTCAATGGATTATTACACAAAAGAAATCTTAAAACAACCTTCATTAACAAATGTTAATTTTCAATTTTAGTTTTACTTCACTGTCAATCAATGACGAGAATAGCCAATCATTAATGAGTTCTGTCTCCCTTTAAGCAAAATCAAAGTGATTTTTGCAAATAAAATGAGACATTTTATATTTACAAAATATTCCATGGCTTTTTGGTCAATTGTTACCTTTTTATGTTCAATCAATATCTCAATAAATTAACACTGAATCAAGTCTGCAGGTAAGTTATAATAATAGTTTTATTAATTTTTTGGGACATATACTTCCATGGGATGAACAGTATAGCTATCTAAGTTACAAACAGGTAATGATTAATGATTGTTTCATCACTTCAAATAATAATAATTACCTCAAAACTTTATCCATCTGAGTTAATTTATCTTCCATAGCTCTATGGTATGGACCATATTTATGACCACAATGATCAACCCCTAGAAAATGTCCAATGATCACATCCCAATCATTCTGCTTGATTTCTGGCACCAAATGCTTGATAACACCACTATCAACAGTATGCAAGTCCTTCACATTGAACGATGGAAATGGAAATGATTTGTTAAAAGCATCAGGAAATAATCCTTCCCAAGTATCGTCTCCCATAAAAGTGATTTTTCTTCCATGTTCGACCAGCTTTGAAATGATGTTGTCTTCTTTGATTGAGTAAGATGCAAAGTTGCTTCCAGCATCAACAAATGTAGGGAGGCTTCCTGAACAAAGACATACATGTATGTAACATATGTATGTAACTTTAAGTCATCATTGATGTTATCTCTGAAGTTGACTTCCATTTAGGATGTCGAAACATCAGGTAACTATAATGTCTTTGAAAATGGAGTAATCAGGCATAATATATGATACAGTTATGTAAAAAGATAAATTTAACACCGTAAAAAAGTATGTGAAATAAAGTAAGTAAAGTAAGTAGTAAGTTATTTCACATACTTTTTTTACGGTGTTAAATTTATCTTTTTACATAACTGTTTCTTTAGAAACACTGACGCAGCTCACACTAGTTTACCGCTAGTTCCCACCATAATATATGATAATCAGTGACAATTCTATACACTTATCATATAATAGTCTTTCTCAAGACTTTTCGCACCTGGAAGAAATGTTAATTCCCCGATTTGCCAAGGGATTTTGGGGGGAGGGGCATGTTTTCAAGATTTTTGACTGACGATTGCCACAAAAGTTATCATCATCATTTCCATTAAAACTTAGTATATGTAAGCTGTTGAATCTACATGTTTGACTCACCGGTGGTAAGGCCTTTCAGACGTTGCATTGTAGTAGTGGGCGGATCTGCTAGAAATCTGTATAGCCTAGCGTTCTGTGGTTTTGACTTTAACACTTCATGTAAAACTACCAATTTATTTTGAAATGGAAGAGCATCGACATCGGAAAGCGATTCGTTGAACAACGCAAAGTCATAYCTTAGAGCATCAATAATAAGGATGACAGCTTTTTGGAATTTCGTGTCGACCCAACAACCATGGTTTAAATTATTTATTTTGTTTTCACGAGAGACTGGATAACGCGTAGATGACCACGGTACAGTTTCATTGCAGTTAGTCTTGTCGTCGATTACGATTCGTTTAAGGAGAAAGCCTTTGGTGAACATGAGAATTCCACTCAGAAACAGCAGCGACAAACACGTGAAAATGGCCACAAGCTTCAAACCATACCCCATCACGAGAAAAACACTTTTTTTCTTTTAATGACACAATCGTAGTCTACAAAAAAAATATGGCGGTGTATTCAACAAAGACTAATAAATTCCAAGAGGAATTTTGAAGCCGAAACAACGCGTAAACTACACAATTTCGTCCACCATCTTGGAAATGAAGGAACTGCGGRATCTGGGTACGAGTTAAGTGAAGGGTTGGTTACAAAGCGCCCAGTTTGTTGTTTTGGATTTCCTGTGTTAAATAAGTTATTTTCGCTTTTGGTTTGAATTTTTTGAGGTATTTTCATCATGTTCTCATGTTGTATTCGTATGCCATGAAAATTTGTTCTTTTTTTCAGTTTTCTTTTGTTAGAAAATCACGATAAACCGTTTTAGACGAATGACTGCGCAAGTGACGCAAGTGTCCGCGAACTGAGACATTAAATCAAGATTACATGAAGTAACTACCTAATTAACTGTTTTTCAAAATGGCGTCCGAGACGGAAGCAGATTCCCCAATTATTACAAATTATAACCGTTTTATTCCCGAAGACGTTTTAGAAGACCTTTGCAGGTACAGTAAACRTATTAAGTATGATCCAKTCTTTCGTTCTACCGTTTTTGATTGTAATTTTYGKTTTGTTTCAGTCGATTTTTAATCAATATTCCCGACGAAGAAAGAGCAGACGTAGTTCGGTTGTGTTTTCAAATTGAACTTGCACATTGGTTTTACATCGATTTTTATCGCCAGGAAAATCCTGATCTTCCAGGCTGTGGTATAAAGGAATTTACTCGCATTGATATCCCTTTTCAACGTGTTCGCTCTAATATTTAACATAATTGCAAGCTAATGTTATAACTTAAATTTTGTTATGCTGATTTTAATAACTAAGTTAGTCAAAATGAAAGTGAAAGTATTTTATATTCCTTCATGAAATAGCTCTCATTTTTCTAAATATCTRAGTTTTCGTTCAGCTTAATATGGTCCTTAACTATTTCACTTTTTAACAAATTTCCATTTCTAAACAAAACTGGGGAAAATGTCGACCAGATTTTTGCCAACTGGCGCAAGTATAAACTGAAGGTTCCTGTCTTTGGAGCAATTTTAATWAACCAGGCATTCGACAAGGTAAGTGTKTAGTTCTTCTCTTTGGACTCYCCTATTTGGAGACAGAGCATAGGGATCCCAACCTAAATGTCTGAATAGGAGGCAAGACGGATAAGTGACACACTAATTTATATGTCCAGAGACTATTGTTTATGCATGGTTGATAAGCTATGTAGTAAGATAATTGGCAATGAGGTTTGACACAATGGCATCCTTAAGGCTCATTTACTTGCGATTTTTACAGAGCGATTCTTGTACAACCATTGCCTGAATTTCCAATATGCTTGAAAATTGATTTTCCATCATCGCAACAATCGCAGGGCTGTTAACACATACGATTTGAGTTGCTTGAAAGCAAAGCTAAGTGGTGATTATGGCGCTGCAAGAAATACAAGTAAAGGGGCCTTTAAAAAGTCCATCATCTGGCACCAAACACTAAAATAAACATTAGATTTTTCCTTTCTGGTTGAGGTTTTGAAAACAGATAATAAATATTATGTATTAGTTAATTATTATTTTGTTATCCAGTGCCTGCTTGTGCAGCCTGCCATGTCCAAAACAAGCTGGGGTTTCCCTAAAGGAAAAGTGAATAAAGATGAAGAGGAGTTTGATTGTGCTATTAGAGAGGTATAGTTTAAACTACCACAGCCTTGTTTTATGGATAAAGATCATACTTCTTCTGCATAAATAAGGTTTTTTAATCATTTAACCAAGCTTTCAGTACAAAGAAATTTACTTAAAACTTAAAAACTTTACCACAACCWTATTATAGAACAAGACTGCTTATTTTACTAAAGCTCACTAGGATGAAGAGAGGAAGGGAAGAAGGAAGGGAAATGACAAAAGAGAATTTTGAAATGTTTTCTAATTGATTTAGTATTCCACCAACATTGCTCGTATATAAAGTTTTCAATGTGGAAATGATTTYATTTTAATTGAAAGTTGCAGGGATTATATTTGTTTGTAATTCAAATGTCTGGCATTTTGTTATTGTTGTTGTGTTTTGTTTTGTTTTTTGTCATAATTCAAGTAATTTTTTTGATATTTTAGGTGTTGGAGGAAACTGGCTTTGACATGACTGAATTAGCTGATCCCAACAATTATATTGAACACAAGATCCATGATCATCCAGTAAGACCATGAATATTGTATTTATTGATGAAATCTTATTCATATTGTAAAAAGATAGAAATCTTTCTGACAATAATTGGTCTTCCAATGAAGAACCAATGTCCTAGTAAATCTTCCATCCTTTTTAAAGTCTGAATACTATTTATTAAATTTTGTTCATATTTATGTTTTTTATTTAGATTCGGTTATACGTGGTTCCTGGTGTACCAGAAAATACACCCTTCCAACCACAGACAAGAGGTGAAATAAGGGTAAGTTATGGGCTTGTCCATTTAAAACTTAGCGTAAAGTGTGAGAAAAGTGTCAAAAGAGGGCTAAAAGGAACTCAAAGGGACTTACTGAAAGTCTTTAAAATATTGCCCTGGTAAAAACATGAAGTGTTGCTTTTCAAGTAGATATAAAGGTAGATATATTCATTGTAAAATAATTGTTGCAATTGAATTTCTTTTAGGATATTCRATGGTTTGAAATTGAGTATCTTCCAACCCACAAAAAAGACACTAATTGTACAGAGCATCTTAACTGCAATCCAAGTTCCTTCTTTATGGTGATTCCTTTTGTAAAGTAAGTCAAATAGCCCCTTTTGCAGTTAGAAAAAAWGTTGTGCTAGGAGCCTGTGGATTTGCACCAAAGTGATGTAGAATCAGGCAACAACCCCAAAAATGTCATTTTTGAACTTGTTCAATCCTTTTGAAATGTCAGGAAAATAATTTTTGATAGTGAAAAAAAGTCATAACTTTGATATTACTTGGCACTCTTGTTCATTTGAGAGCTGCAGCAAACATGTTTCCCRCTTTGGTTTTAACCGCGAWAAGGTCCATTATCCTATACAGCCCTGGTGATTGTTTGTCTMAATAAWAGTCTTTTTRCATGATAAGGTCRCATGGTACTAAATAMGYCATGCTKGATKSCAAAATACCCACTGGGATGTTCAAAACAAAGAAAAGTCAAGTTTGACGGGCTGCGTTCCTTTTGTTTCGTTTCATGCAAAAGGMCTATTGCTACTATGAAAAGAAAGTGTTTCTTGTTTTTAAAATGCAGAGAATCAACGTTAGCTTTTCTGTATTTTAGGGACCTTCGTAAACGTATGTCATACAGTTTTACTCCTCGACCAAACAGTCAAAACAGCAGGACAATGGCAGATGAAAATATCGTGTCTACTCCAAAAGCACAGCTGCAAAAGTTAGTCGACAAAGAGGAGGCACGGATTGAGAACGAAAAGAAACAAGCYGCCATGGACAGAAGAAGGAAACTTCAGCAGGAGAAGTTCATGGCGCAGCATGCTTTAAATCATCCATTGAGGAGTAGAGGTATAATTGTTAATAATGATTAATATATTATCTTTATGATTATTAAACGTCAGCCAAATGATTAAAATATTGTAAATCCAATTAAATCATTATCCAACGCTGCTTGGCGGTTATTGGATAATCTCACAAGTTCTTGAATTCAATTATGTTACGTGTGAACTAGCTTCTGTTTATGCCGTTATTTTTTGTGAACTGGCCCTAATGCAGGACACCAGGGCTATAGGAAAACTGCTCTTAGGGACTGCACAATATCTATCAGGAGGGGGGGGGGAATCTAATTTTATGTGCTTAAATAGGGGGGTAATTTCGTTTGCGAGGGGGTGTAGTTGATAACTTTTTTCATTTTTTGGCTCATTTCGCAACCCCACCCCCTCCTGATAAATATTGCGCAGTCCCTTATAATGAATTGTGAAATATTTTATCTAGGATATCAAAGTCCAGTTCATGAGCGTGACTCGCCAAGTGCTAGGGAACAGGATGAGAAGACACCATCGCCTATTAAAATACTACAACGGCCTGAGAAACTTTCATCACGTGACAGAAAAGAGTCACGTGATAGGAAAACAGGAAGTAAACAGAAATCATTTAGTCCCAGTTCGCTTCATCAATTCGTTGAAGGAAGTAGCAGCAGACCGRGAAATGAAGCCTTTGCGCCATTTTCTCCGATATATCACGCCCCTGTATCCTCKTATAGTATACACCCGACTACCGGGTCACTACCGGCCCAACCGGCTTCCCCGTACGGTGTCAGCTCCAGTATATGGCATCTCGATCCCAGTACATCGATGGACCCTTTGACAAAATTAAGACTGCTATCTGCAAATGCATCTTCTACGCATACTTCAAAACCAAGGACTGCTGTGCAAGAAGACGAACCGCTCTCCAGCAATCGCTTTTGTTTTAGTGCCCCTGCTTTTGAAAACTTYAAGTTCGATCGCCAAGCATTCTCGGAGATTTTATAAACGATTGTTTTTACTTTTAAATTGTAGAATATTTCGATGAATTAAGTACTTAAGGTATAGTCCAACATGGACGTAAATGAAAACCTTTTTTAGAATCTCCTCCCTCATTTTATTATGTCTCAGGCGCGGTGGTTAAGACGTCTTTTTTTCGATGCGCCTTGTCTTATTACAGATTTATCACGAGCAGTTTACAGTCTAAATCACTTGTTATTTACGGATTATTTTGAGTCTACTACTGTCAGTAAATTCAGGGATGAATTGCCCACGAAGTCAACATTTGACTAGCATTTCTATTAGGCGCGACAGAACCATCATGTCTGATCTAATTTCGTTGGCTAAATAAGGCTTGGGTGAAACGCGGAATCTCACATGTACGATTTCAATGGAAATCAACCCAATGTATAGTATCATATGATTTTATTCAGCATCGAGACGTCACGCGCGCGCAAAGCACTTTGGGAGATTGCACRTTTGATCCATTATCTCCAGCAAGGTTGTTGGTCTTCTTGAAAGCCGAGCAGGATACTGTGGAATAGTATAGCCTAATTGTATCCAAATTCACCTGGAAAATATGGACAAAGGAAGAGTATACGCGTGTCTGTGATCGCAGTCGTTTATTTTATTTTCTCGGGACATTTAGACTAGAGAACAAACACTGAAAGTGTGCAACATATATACCAATAAATACCGCTATTAGATTATGTATCTTATTGTATTGTTTTCTATTGTTTATTTAGTAGTAAATAGTAAGTGTTGCAGYATTCTATACCGGGCATACAGTCTTTCTGAGGTTAGTGATCTGCAGTTCTAGCAGCTTGAGCGTAAAAACTTCCAAATTGCAAGTGCCTCAAATAGCTGTTTCGYCTCTGTGACGAGGTCAAACAATTTGCTAAAATTCAAATCTACTGAGCTCACAGCAAGCGCTTGACATTTCCCAAAAAATATATAACGGAAATTGTCGAAGTTCACTTTTCCTAGTATCTTATTGGTCGAGAGTGTACCACGTGAAAGTCACAAAACTTTACTGTTTCGGCCCGGCAACTGTCCACCAGCGGTCAATAATATGTTGTATAATTAAGAAATATAAAACGGCGCGCGTGTCTCTGTCCTCTGATATAAACACGGTGGGAGTTCGAAAAACACAAGAGAAGCAAGCTTAGGAACACGAGCGTAGCGTGCTTATATCAGAGGACAGAGACACAAGCGGCCGTTTTATATTTCTTTTATAAAATGTTTCGAGCGAAAAGAAAATTTTGCCGGTAGGCCGTGTCTCTGTCCTCTGATATAAACACGGTCGTCAGCCAATCAGAGCGCGCGTTATATATCAAAAATTTTATAAATATGTATAAAAACACTTCATTTATTTACTTTTTTTGCTATCTTTGAGACGATATGATAATAAAGCACTTATTTACTGTAAACCTCGGGGAAACAGTATTTTCCCTCGGTTCCAGTTAATAAGTGTTAATTGATACATTCAATAGTCATAGTGGTTGGGCATTCTGTCTTTTGAGGGACGTGACCGGTTCACAGAGAATCATTATGTAGCGTCATGGCATTTGATGAGGAAGTTCCAGTAATGTTCATTTTTTCTTTATTTTAGTCCCGGAACCATCCATTCCTCGAGAAAACACAGAATGATTATTTCAAAGTGCTTGAATTGAAAACTCGTTTTCAAGGGCACTTGAAACTCCTTGAAAATATGAAAATTTCGAAAAAGTCCTTGAAAACTCCTTGAAAAAGATGGATCTCTATCACGAAGCGCTAGCGATCTCTGAATTATTCCGTTCGGCTGAAGTTTTGAAGTAAGAATGTACAATTAGCATGACTAATGATTATGATGGCCTTGAAAATACAATTTTGGACCATGAAAAGTCCTTAAATTTCGTTGTTGATATATTGAGCTGTTTTTCGACTCTGCACGTATAATTTTACCAATGTAGTCAGGTGTTTCAGGTTACATAGCAAGATATATTACTGCACTTGGAAAACAAGACGAAATTAGACCCATATAACCATGTGACGTCTAAATATAAGCATAATTCTTTTCAAGGATATTTGTCCAAGCTGGGTATTATMTTTATATTTATGTTATTATTCAAATTCATGTCATACCCTTATCAAACGCCTCAGTTGATTTATGCCTAAAAGCATGTATAAGCGTTGGCAGAGAGCTAAACCCATTTACACTGCCAAATTAGCTAAGCCGGAAACTTGATTTTGATATAAAAACAAATTCTATATTATTTTTAATTTACAAAATTTAAAAAGCTTTAAGGTGATATATATCAAAGCATTACTCAGGGTCTTAATGGTGGGGTCTCAATGTCGGTAGTCAGTTAAAATTTCAAGCATTTGTCGCTAGTCAGTTAAAATTCTAGGCATTTGTCGCTAGTCGGTTATTTAAAAAAAGTTGATAAACATTAAGTTTAAATGCATCTAAAACGGTGCTTT